ACTTGTTAGAAATGCAAATTCTTGGGCCCCACCTCAAATCTTCTAAATCAGAGACTCTGGGACTGGGGCCCAGTGATCTGTGGTATAACAAGTTCCCCAGGTGATTCTGATTCGGCAGCTCATGTTTGAGAACTGCTGGAGTCAAGCACACAGAACCTGTCTCATATTGTTATTAAGTGCTTACCAAACAAACATATGAATGAGTTGTGGTTTGTGAGCACTGTGGCCATCTGTATGGGACTTGTGATAGGAACTAATACTGCTCACTAAATGTTTCTGACCCTCTGCCTTCAAGACTAGCTAGAGCCCTTTTCTCTCTGCCACAGCAACTAGCAACATTCCAGAGAGTTGCTGCTCCATCAGCCTAGGTCCTGGGGTGAGGCTGACGAGGAGCCGGCCTTAGCTAGCCCACGGTGGACACCTAATTTGAAGAAGAAATTCAACTTCACTGTTTCAAGCCACTGGGATTTGGACGTTGTCTGTTACTGCAGCAAAACTCAGTACGCTCATAACTCAGTGCTGTGTCATCTGGTTTGATATAGCACTAATATTTCCAAAGAACAGAGCTTCCCAAAATGCCTCAAACTCCACCACATAAGTGAAAGTCTGGTTCTCCAAGACATAAAACTAGCTCCATCTGCAGAGGCAAAAATGCCTGAAGAAGGAAGAAAGGGAAGCTTGGAGGGAGGGAGGAAGGCAGGCAGGCACTCTGCCCAGTGATCTCTAGGAAATATTTCATACCTGGTGACCAAAGTGGGCCAGGACTCAGCTGTGGCTATAGATAATGGAAACGGAAAGAGATATGAGTTGGCCTGGGGGGGATGGGAAGCTCTGGTACGGATGGTTTCAGGAGGGCTCCCAGATGAGAATGGCAGTTCAAAGGCAGAGGACATTGTACAGTGAGGAGAAAAACAGTGCCCCCTTGCATCTGTATTGAGCTCTGTGCTTTGCAGGACACTCTGGGTCCCTGTTCCATCTCTTGCTCCTTCCACACACAGGGATGGTCCGTCCTATGTTACAGTTGCTCCACAGAGGCAAAGGACTGGCCCAAGATTGCACAGAAAGTTGGTGGCTGAGTCAGCCAAGGCTTTCACACCTGGGCCTGCTCCTTGTCAGCCTGCAAGAAACAAGGCTCCCAGAAGGTGATTCTGGAGGGAGGATGACATCCTCCTGCCCAGGGCACAGGTGATGTTCTCGTGCAGGATCCAGAGAACTCTCGGCACCCGATGGTTCTCGCCAGGTTCTGGTGAAGTTGGAGGTTCTCTGGCCGCTGAGCGATGGTGAGGGAGACGCTGGGGATCAGGGCTGCAGGCACCAGCTCCTGATTATCCCAGGCTCACAAGCTTCCCATCTGTCCCCCAGTGCCCTGGCGTCATTCTTCACCCTCTCACTACCATGTCTCCCTCTCACAAGCTTCCTCACCCTGGGGTCTCCATTCTCTCATGGGCAAGTGACAAAGCCTAAAGCCCATGTGTGGCCAGTTGGTGCCCCCTCCCTTTCCTCCCATCACAGTAAACAGGAACAGGAGGATGCTGGTAACAGCTGACACCTGCCTCTCCAGAGTTCCTATGTTAACGTCTCAAGCTGCAGCACCTGAGACATGCCCTTATTTGGAGATAGGGTCTTAAAAGGTAATCAAGTTAAAATGAGGTCTTTAGAGTGAGCTGTAATCCACTATGACGTGTGTGTTCATAACAAGGAAATGTGAAGTCATGGGAAGAACACCATGTGACGATCAGAGTCCTGCTGTTGCAGCCAGGAAACTACCAGAAGCAGGGAGAGAGGCTGAAACAGACCCTTTGCTCAGCCCAGAAGGAAGCAGCCCTGCCAATACCTGGATCTCAGACTTCTGAGCACCAGAACTGTGAGACAATAAACCCATCGGTGAAGCCGCCCAGCCTGTGGTACTTTGTAACAGCCACCCTAGACAGTCGACACACCCAACCCAGCCACCTGCACCTCCTGCTGCAGCCCAGGTCTGCCCTCCGGGGTCTGGCCAGCCTCCTCACTGCCCACCTCCATGCCTTTGCTGATGGGGTTCCCTCTCCCACCCACCCCTTGACGGCGTCATTGCATCCCTCAAGATGGAGCTCAAGGCCCCATGAAGCAGGTGGCAGCATTCTCTCCTGCTGCGCTCGTCTGTCTCTTTCTAGCCTTTTGCACATCCAGTCTCTGGGCTGTTATGGAATGATTTTGCTGAGTGTTTGTCCTGCCTTCGCATCATGAAGGTAGATTCCACAAGGGCAGGGGCTGTTCAAATTTCTAACTCTTCTCTTCTATCTTGCAGCACAGCACTGTGGGTGGGCTACAGCAGGTGCTTAATAAATACTGGCTTGAAACACCTTTCTAGTATACCCTGTAGCACACTCTAAGTCCCCTCCTTTGACCAGACTGCAAACTCCTCGAGGGCAGCAATGGTCCATCATCTGTATCTATGCCCCTGCATCTTGTGTAGCAAGAAGTAACAATACATGCTGCATGGGTAACGTGCACATGTGGCAGAAATTATTTACCACGCAACAAGGACCCTGTAAGGGTTTCAAGGGATCCATGAACCCAATGAACTTGTGTGCAAAGGACTTCGTGTGTTGGTATGTTTATATAGGTACTATGCGTTTTCCCAGGGACAGGGTCCATGGGCCTCTTTGAGCAACTGAAAGCCAAGACTAAAACAATGTGGAGCACCAATGCCATGGAGGAGGGAACTGACATTTACGCAACCCCACTCTGTGCCTGGTGAGTGCAGGTGTTACTACTGCCATTTTACATGAATGAAAACTGAGGTTCAGAGAGGTAAAGCCTTGCCTGGGTTCATGAAGAGACGAGCAAGCCTGCCCAAGCCATCCAAGTGCAGAGACTCTGGAGCCAGACAGCCTGGATTCAAATCCAAGCTCTGCCATTTTCCAGATGTGTGATCTTGGGCAAGTTACAGAAGCTCTGTGACTCAGTTTCCCCACCTGTCAAATGAGAGAAATAAGGACACCTACCTCACAGGGCTGCTGGGAGCAGTAGATGGATCAGTGTATGTAAAGTGATCAGAATGGTGCCTGGCATGTGGCGGGTGCTGGGAAGATGAAGATAAAGAGGAAGAAGCTGGCAGTGGCAGGGCAAGGACCAAACCCAGAACCCTGTGATTCAGTGTCATCACTACCAGCACCCAGGGTGCCCCACATCCCATCTCCCCACCAGAACTCTCCTGTGCCCTCCTAGGAGAAGTCTTCCATTCTAAAAGTGGCTTTTTGAGCTTGAGTTCCTGATGGACCATCCTAGGGTCACCTGGCCAGAAGGCAGTGCCCAGTGGTTACATAAGGAGTAGGTCAGAAGGTATAAACTGCCCTTGCCAGTCAGCAAGACTGGGCCTCCTGTGCAATCAGGACACTTAGCACTTCTGCCCTGCTCTTCATTTTCCAAGAGCTTTGCCACCGTTCACTAATGGAAATTAGAAAGGAAATGTGCTCATCCATTCCTGGAGCTCTGTGCTGACGTCCAAACTCCCTTCATAATTTCCCTGAGTCCATCACTGTGCCCTGAGCTTGGGCAAGCCGCTTACATCTGTCTCTGAGGCTTTGTGAGTCCCGTGTCCTGCCCCTGGCCTGGTTTCACACTACTCCATGCAGACAGAGCAGCAGCAGGAAAGCCTTACTCCTGATCTCGCATCTACACCTGGGTCTCGGTTACCCCATCCCAGGTGAGGTGCTGACCAAGGCCTCGTCCTAGCTCAGTCCTCTGCCCTGCTCCTGAGAAACGGCCTTTTAGGTGAACTGCTTTGTATCTTTCCTACAAAACCATTACTACTGAACCCATTGGAGGGCATATTTTTCATTCATTCTTGTAATGCAATTAGAATTGAGTTTCTCCAGCATTGGGGGAGATGTTAACAACAGTAGGGGAAAATTGTCATTTTATTCCCAACATCAACACACCCACTCTGCCCAAATTTTCCCTCTGGTGCGAACTCTCTCTACCCACTCGAATGGCAAAGAGAATACTAACAAGGAAAATCGCTCTCCAAATGAAGAGACAGAAGTTTTGGGGGTGGAATCTCTTCTCAGTCATTAAATGAGGGCCTCCCGGCTCCTCTGACACGCTCCTGCAGTAGAGGGAACCTTCCAAGGCCCACTGGAAAGTCCACTGGCCCCAGTTCACTGGGTCAGAGGTAAGTGGGGAAAGAGTCCCTTAGAACCCAGCAGGGCCCCTACAATCATTCTCCCAGAGAGGTTAAGTGACTTGCCCAAAGCCTCATAGCTAGGAAGCCCAGATCTACAGGCTCCTGCTCCGGGGTGCCTCCACTGCACCACACTGCTCTTCTCCCAGAGGGCCTGCCGCTGCCAGCAACTCAGCTCTTGCCTTTCTTAGGGGACACTAAGGCTTGCATTTTCTGAGCTGCTCTAGACAAATAGGAAAAGAGGCAATGTTTATCTTTCATGCACCCACCTCTTCTCCAGTGTCCCCCAAATCCTTTTTGGAAATCCTCCTAGCTCCCAGAACCACTCCCTCGTGGTCCACCTGACCTTTGCCCCCATCCTTTTCTTACTGTGGTTTTGACATCCAACAACCCAGCCTTCCTTCCTCTCTTTCCCATTTCTACCCATCCAACTGTCCATCTACATACCCATCCATCTCTCCTTCCATCCAGCAAAGCTGTCTTGAGCACCTGTACACCTTAACCCTGTGCCCGGCACCCAGCACTTCTTCTGCCTTGCTCCTCAGAGTGCCCACTCCAGAGGGAGCCACTTCTCCCCTATCCCCCATCAAGGCCTTGAACTGACGGACTTCCATCCACCCTGTAAGGAGGTTGATCTGATGGCCCAACCCTTGCTACTGAATTTGCACCAAACTCATTATTCCTTCTGAGCACTGGCAGCAGGCAGGGACTTCTGGAGCCGTGTGGCTGAGGACTGCTGCCTAGGGACCATGGATATCAGCCCCACCTCCCCTCCCCTCCTTTCCCCTCTCCTCCCTTTCCCACTGAGGCCAGAACAGCAGCAGCCCCTACGTACGTATGCAGAAGTCTCCGTTCTCATAGTAGCCAGGGCAGCACTGGGACCTCCGCCGGTACATGGTCCGGAGGCCTCTCCGATACGCTGTCTTATAACTGATCCTAAGGCACAAGGGAGAAAGCCACTTGAAAGTATTGAAAATCAATCACTCCCGTTTAGAATGATATTTGTGTTAAGCTATATTGAGGATGCCATTCAATAATTACTTTAAAATGCATGGTGGCTTCAAATATGAAGGAACACAATAAAAAAATCGATAGTGGGATTTGGGCTGTTGTGATGCAGAATGTATTACTAACACGGCACTTACTAAACCTGCTGACTTTTCCCCAGTCACTTCTAAATAGAAGGGCTGCAGAAGATATTTTCTGGAGTGACATTGTGGGGGGCAACCATGAACTTCTCCTTAGTTCCTTAAAACACCCAGATTCTGGGCTTGAGGAGCCCATGTGGTGACCTGGATAGGAGTCAGGCCCTGAGGGTTTCTGTGCCCGCCCCCTCCCACCCCTCTAACAAGCCAGACTGCTCACAGCCCCCTGAGTATTGGTCCCCCCACTGGGAGAACAGAGGCAGAGTCGGCAAAAGGACCCTCTAAGTCCAGCTCAGTCCCGGAAAGTAGATTAATCTCCCCCACGCCAAAATAACACCTCCAGGAGAGGAGCCTCGCATGCCATCCCTGGGAAGGCCCTGAACCGACCCCTCGCCCTGCAAAGGAAGAAGCTGAGGCCCATGGAGCCACAGCACTGGGAGTCAGACTCGTGGGTTCCAGACCTTATGCTGACACAAGTGTTAAGACTTAGCCCCATGCCAGAGAGACTATGAGCAACATCTCATTCCGTTCCCTGCGGCAGGCACCATTACTATCCCCCTTTATTTTATTTATTTCTCTTTTAGAGCTTTTATTCTTATTTTTTGTATGTTCCCCTCAACTCCCCACCCTTTGTTTTATGAATAAGAAAACTAAAATTAGTGAAGTTAGTGACCAGCACAGCTAATCAGGGTCAGAGCCAGGATTCAAACCTAGCTCACTCCAATTTCAAAGCTGCTAGGCTTAACCTACTGACCTCTACCAGCTTTCACAGGGTAGATTGTGGCTATACAGATGGCCGCAGTGAAGGAGTAAGTAAAAAGAAATACTGAATCTTTAGAAGGAAATCAAAATGGGGTATCCATAGGCAAAGCCCCTTCTTCACGTGGAGAGTCAAAGTGGAAGAGATTTGAAGTGGCCACTAGAGGCTAGAGAGAGGAAGTGACCTGCCCAAGGTCATGGAGCGGAACTTGGACCCGACCCCAAGTCCTTGGGCCTTGAAGCCAGACCTCTTTCCACTTTTCCATCAGCACCTAAGTGGAGCTTGCCCTGTGAACTCTTCCTCAGCAGCACAGCAGAGGGTCTGGTCATCAGGGACATCTATAGGCTGTGTTCCATGAAGGGCCAGGACGGCTTGGGAAGAGAGTCCTATAATACAGTCTGGGACAACCTTCCCACACCTTAAAGCCCCCACTTCATAACAAATGACAGTGCAGAACTCTGGGGAAATCTGTGATATTTGGGAATGTCATAAGCTAAGGTCATTCAACTTTGTCAAAAACCCATAATGGAAGGAAAGCTGGCCTCAAAGCAAAGCTACATCCCCAGCACAGAAGGCAGCTCCCAGCAGTTTCAGGGGTTGTACAAGCCTCTCAGGTAAAGAAGGACTCAGAATCAACTCAGAGGTCATCCAGCCTATTCTCCCCACCAAACAGGATTGTCCCCAAGCCCCCCAGTGTGGGGTGGTCTGGGCTTCATTAAAGCCCCTCAGGAGAGAGTTGCCACCCATTGTTTCTGGCTCACCCATCTTTCTTTGTCCCTGTGCAGGTTGGAAAGGCAAGAGAGGGAAGCAAGGCCAGGTGCCAGGCTGCTCTCAGGGGAAGGATACTGAATTAAAACATGCCATTCCACCCCAAAGCAGACGGAGGGTACAGCTGTTAGCATGCACACTCTAGGTCGTCAGGAAAGCTGCAGGTGACTCAATAATTTAGCAAAATAATTCATGTTCTAGGAATACAGCCTATTTTAATAAGCAGCCACCACCTCAGTGGTGATGAATGGCAGCCCTAGCCTCCAAGTACCCAAAAGGGCCACACCTCTGAGCAAACTTGGCTCTCACACTGGGCCTGCCGGGGCTTCGGGAGGAGCAACACTACTATTTCTGCCTCTGCCTTTGACCAAGGCCTGGAGCAGCCAACTATGGCAAAACTGGTGGGGTGAACGAGAGCATTTATTCCCACCTCCTCATTCCACAGTCCCACCTCCTCATTCCACAGTCAAATGCTAGAGGAAGGGGATACAGTAATAGCTGAGTAGCCCCTATTGGACCACCTTTCTGCAAATAGCAAGTATAAAATCTAGGGGGAAATATACAAAACAACTACCTGAAGGCACTTGAGGGAGGACAAAAGCAGGCGGATACTGGAGGCAAATGGACATTTGAGAGAAGGGAATGGTGCTGAGAGATTTAGCACAACAATACTCCGGGCAACTAAAATTCAGATAGAAAACACACAACCTTGCTCGTTTGAAGAACCACAGGCCAAGTCCAGGGTGGACCCAGCATACCTGCTGGGTATGCAGGTGGGGAAATCTGTGATATTTGGGAATGTCGTAAGCTAAGGTCATTCAACTTTGTCAAAAACCCATAATGGAAGGAAAGCTGCTTCCTCAGCACAGAAGGCAGCTCCCGGCAGTTTCAGGGGTTATATAAGCCTCTCAGGTAAAGAATGACTCAGAATCAACTCAGGGGTCATCCAGCCTGTTCTCCTCATCAAACGGGATCATCCCCAAGTCCCCCAGTGCGGGGTGGTCTGGGCTTCATTAAAGCCCCTCAGGAGAGAGTGAAAGGGGAAACCTTAGAAAGGGAGAGCCACAAAGAGGGAGCCCCAAAATCTTTGTAAACTCCCTGCCCAAGTGTCTGACCACTGATTTATCCTTATGGAGGGTATATTCCAAGCAGCCTAGCTAAGGCTAAAAATATTAAACTTTCAGAGTTTGGAATTTGTGTTTAGCCAAGTAACCAGGCTGCCAAAACAAACAACAACAAATTAATATTATCTAGAGGAACATAACAGAATCTGGTCTCCACAACATGTCATTCATAATGCTCAGAATATAATCCAAGATTACTAGGCATATAAAGAAACACGCTGGCCAGGCGCAGTGGCTCATGCCTGTAATCCCAGCGCTTTGGGAGGCCGAGGCATGGATCACGAGGTCAGGAGTTCGAGACCAGACTGGCCAACATGGTGAAACCCCATCTCTACTAAAAATACAAAAATTAGAAGGGCGTGGTGGTGGGTGCCTGTAATCCCAGCTACTTGGGAGGCTGAGGCAGGAGAATTGCTTGAACCCGGGAGGCAGAGGTTGCAGTGAGCCGAGATTATGCCACTGCACTCCAGCCTGGGCAAGAGAGTGGGACTCCGTCTAAAAAAAAAAAAAAAAAGAAACACTCTACCCATGCAGAAAAAAAAAAAAAAAGCAATCAATGAAGACCAACCCTGAGATGACCCAGATGTTGGAATTAGCAGGTAAGAATTTTAAAGCAGCAAGTATAGCTCTGCTCAAAGTCTCACAGCCAGTTAGCAGCAAAACCTCAAAGAAAACCAGGACTTTGGCTTCTCAGCACAGAACAAGTTTTCTCATCCACGTTGCTGCCCAATACGATTCCTGAATTATCCTCAAAGAGGAACTGGGTTCATAGGAGAAAGCAAAGGAGAAATCGGGAATCAATAGATATTCAACAACTAGCAAAAGGGCCCACCCTGGGGTCTCTCCCTTACTTCCTTATTTATCCTTCAACATCTAGTCTCTCACCCTTCAAATAGTGTCGCTTCACATGTGGCTAATATGTCACACTTTCCTCCATTTTCCCCTGTATTTTTTCGAAGTAATTTTCACATTCCTGACCTCCCTGGACACTGCAGGGTAGGTAGAACAAGGCTTATTAAGGTTTTTGTTTTGTTTTGTTTTGTTTTGTTTTTGAGACAGAGTCTTGCTCTGTCACCCAGGCTGGAGTGGCATGATCTCGGCTCACTGCAAGCTCCGCCTCCCAGGTTCATGCCATTCTCCTGCCTCAGCCTCCCTAGTAGCTGGGACTACGGGCACCCACCACCACGACTAACTAATTTTTTATATTTTTAGTAGAGACAGGGTTTCACCGTGTTAGCCGGGATGGTCTCGATCTCCTGACCTTGTGATCCGCTCACCTCAGCCTCCCAAAGTGCTGGGATTATAGGCGTGAGCCACCACACCTGGCTGGATTATTAAGTTTGATGAGTACACTGGGAATCCCAAAATAAAGTGTCTTTCTCAGGGTCATCCCTTAAAGCATGTTGTTTCTTCCTTCCTCTTGCCTTTCCCTGAGTGACATGATAACATATAATCTGCAGGAGGGCTGCAGACAAGGGTGCAGGACTGCCATGTGCAGTTGTTCATGTTGAGCACTGCTAAGGGAAGCCTGGCCAAGGTGCTGTGAGGTTGCTGAATTCTAGCCTGCACTCCCTTCTTCAAGCTGGATGCCCTGACATGGGGCTACATCTGCTCAGGGCAGGGGACTCTCTTAGGTTGGGTTTTCCCCCAAATGCAGACTCTGAGAAAAGGATTCAAGAACAAGTAGTTTATTTTGGAGGCAATCCTAGGAAGTACTGGTAGGAGGATAGAAAAGTGAGACAGGGAAGTAAAGGCAGCCAATCTACGGTATCTTATTGAGCAGGTTACTTCTATGGGCAACTGGAGACTTCTAGGATACATGTAGAACGTGGCTAAGAGATGTTTCTGCCATCCCAAGAGTGAGGAAGTTGGGGTAGTTATCTACCAACACCCCATCTCCCCATCCCTGGTTGAGGGATGCCCTCAAAAGCATTAACTCTCCAGCACTTCTGGCCTGTCCTACCCACAAGATCTTTTGGCCAGAAAGAAGCCATTAGCAGAGCATCTTGGGTGGATGGCTTGGGTGGATGGTTCAGAGTGGAGGCGCATGACAGCATCTGCTCCAATGGCCTTTTTCTATCTTGCACAGAGGCAAGCCCTGAGAGCCCAGTGCCTTTTCCCTGCCCCGTCATCTGAGAGAGGTACTCACCGATGCCTGGTGCACTTGAACCAGTTAAGGATGTCTGTGCATCGTGTGTAATAGATCTGATCGAAGGGGTGTGCATACGATTCCTGGACAGTCACAGCGTAGCTGAGAACCAGATGGGAGATGGGAGCCATGATTAGCACTTGGGAAGTTGAGCTGATATTCCACAGGGCATCTGAGCCCACAGCCCTGAGGCCAAGCTCCACAGCCAAGTGTCCGGAGGCTCTGACCTCTGCACTCCCAACTATCCTCCCCCTTCCCTGAATGCCCTCATATTCCAGCCTCCCCGACCCCAGGTTGGCTCCAGGACATATCCCTTATGGACCTTTGGCCCAGATCATTTTCTAAAATTCAAGTTCATTTGTTCATTTAACAGAGAATGAATAAAGAAGCAGGGGATAGTTTTCTTCTATGTGGCTCTGGAAGGCAGAGCCAACAAGTTTAAAAATACTTTATGTGTTTGTTCATATCTTTATGGTTTTCAAAGAAAATGCTTGGAAGCAGGACTTTGCAGCAACTCTGTGAAGTAAGTGGCCCCATTTCATAGAGGAAGAAACTAAGGCTCAGAGAAAAGTGACTTGCCCAGCCCACACTGCAGTATCAATAGGTGCTAACATTTATTGAGCACCCTGTGTCAAGTATTTTAATACATTTTATTCCTCACAATCTTAGGTAGGTGGAATTGTTCTCACTTTACAGACCAGGAAACCGAGCATCGGGGGCATAAGTGGCTTCCACAAGCTCCCCCAGTTACCTTCTACTCTATTCTGCATCTAGTGTAGCTGGGGGTACATTGAGGATATGTCCCTGATAGAAGTGGTTTCTTGTCATCCTGCCCGTTAGCTGTAAACCTGGACCAGCAGGTGGAAGCCACAGGGAAGCAGATCTCAGCTTAACCAAAATAAGCCTTTCTACCTGCCGGCCCCTGGCAGGGGGTTGCATGAAATGGCATTCAAGCCAGGATGCTGAAGTGAGGACTCACGTTTCCTAAACAGGCTGGAGAGAGGACCTCGGCTGAGATCTAAGGAATTAATTTCTATGTAGGTTGGTATTATTCAGTGTTTTTCCCAGAGGGCTCACTGACCTGGGCCAGATGGCCGGGTCCAGGCTGTAAAAGCACGTCTGCCTCGCCTGAGGAAACTGCATTGGTTAACTTGCAAGGGGGCTGGGCAGGCCAGCTCCCCAAGTGGGTCCACAGTAAGCTCTCTGATGCCTGAAAAGTCAAAGGTCTGGCATCCAGAAGGAGGAGGCCAGAAGCAGTCAACAATGCTCAGAGGCCTGGATGGTGGGAAATTCTGTTTCTCTGAAGCATTGGGGATGTAAGGAGGGCTCTTGGTGTGCCCCCACTAGCTGGCATACCTGAGATGTGCCTCAGAGGCACACATCTAGGAAGAAACAGCCCAAACCCTGTTTTATCTCCAGGCTTGGGGAAACTGAGGCAACTCACCCCTCACCCCGGCCACCCAGAGTCCTCTTCCAACTCTGGGATCGCATGATTCTTTGCTCTAACACATCTCCTGAATACCTCACTCAGAGCAAGAGGATGAATGGGGAGCGTGCACGGGCCCTGGAATCCAAACACGGCAGCAGGAAAAGGGGCAAGTTTGAAGCCTGTTGCCTGTTAGCAGCATGCCCTTAGATGTGTTATTTGATTCATATAAGCCTCTGTTTCCTCACCTGTAAGTCTAACCAGGTTGTGTGGTTATTGTGAGGATTAAAGGAGGACAGTAATATTTTCTATCTCTCAGGGCAGTGGGAAAATAAAACAAGATACACTATACATGTAACATGCTTAAACGGTAAGTGTTTAATAGACGTTGACAGGCAATGATTCACTTCTCGTGCTAGGCACTGAGGGATCTTTCCTCCCTGACCAATGTTGGGGAGAGAAGGAGCAAGACCAGCACACAGAATGGATTCCCCACCTTTGTTATGCACTTGGGGGTCCAGCCTCCCTTTTTGGCCGTAACATAGACCTTGGATGCCCAAAGAGAAGCTCAGCAGGGGGCGGGAGGGGGCAGTCATGGGGCAGGGACTGGGCTCTGCAGGATGCCCTGGGCTGAATGAGTCTGGCAATGATGCCTTGTACCAACTCCAAGTTCTCTGACCTGAAGTGTGTGCCCCTGGTTTCATGGCTGGGTGGCTTAACACTGCTCATTTGCCAACATGCTAATGAGGGGCCAGATTAATCTTGGAGAGCCAGGCTTTACTAGCCGGGAGAGGTCGTTACACTGGGTTTTATGGTGGAGGGGCATAATTAATGAGGAGCCGCCAGAAGCACTAATCCAGCTGAGAAATTCTCCCTAAGCGATCTCCAGGGACCACGGTGTGTTTCTGGAACAACACGGGCTAGATCCATCCACACATAACTTACAACGGAGCTCAGCTGGAAAGACTGAGAAGAAGAAAGCACCTGGTGTCACCAGGCATCACCCATAGGGCTTCCCCACTGGGGCCAGAGAAGCCCAGAGAGTCCCCAGACCTCATTCTAGCTGTTAGGTTTCACTCCTTGTCTTCCTATCCGGGCTGTAACATTGGCTGATAGCCTAAGAAGCCTGAAATGCCAGCTCAGTTCAGCTCAGTTCAGAATATTTCCACATCCCAAATGTATTCATGTTGGGCAGGTGTAGAAAATTAGTGAGTACAAATGGGGCTCAGAGAGAGAAGTCAGAGGAGGCCCTCCCTGTAGGGGGACACTCCCTGGAAGAGAGGGACTCCGGATAGAGCCACTGGGGCAGGCAGAGGTGAGCAGCTGCAAAGGAGGCACTCGAGAGGCTGTGATGCAGCACAGACAGTAGCAGGAAGCAGCTGTGTCTTAACAGGACCAGATGGATGAAAGGGGTCCTCTGAGGCTGGAGTCCAAAACCCACAGAATAACGTGGGGCTCTTCCCAATACCTCTCTGACCCACCGGGAAATAAAGGTTTAAATTCACCAAAGCCAGAATGGGCAAGGGGCCTGAGTAACCTCAGAATCACGTAGAATGCTTATGAAAAATGCACTATTGAATCAGCATCTCGGGGATAGGCCCCAGGAGACTTTTTCATATGCACCTCCCATGAGTCTGAGGTGCACTAAAGTCCGAGATAACCAGTTCCTACAAAGCCACAGTTGTCAACAAGAAAAGACAGCAACTGACACTTGTGGTCCTCAAAGCACTTTCGTGAAACTGCTGCCCTTGATCCTCCAATGAGCCTGTGAGGCAAGGATAATGCTTCTCCCCACTCTACAGAGGTGGAAGTAGGCGCAGAGCCGTTCAGAGACTTCCCCAGAGTCACACAGCTTATAGGTGGAAAAATCCAGATCGGAATGAACTGAGGTCTTCTCATCACGGATCTTGTTTTCTTCCCACTTCACCAAAAACGGGCACACCACAGTACTGCCTTTTGCTCCATCCTCAACTTTGTTGGGACGCCACACACAGGATCTGGTCCCCAGGGATCACACAAGTGCAGACACAGTCCCTCTGCCTCCCAGCTGATCCTTCCTGACCCGCAAGTGTCCAGGCTACCCCAGAGCCAGGTCCTGCCTGACTGAGGTGCCTTTCCCCACCCTAGGGCTGGGCTATCCACCCTCATGGGCATGAAGCATTGACCCCCCTCCAAGTCCCCCACCTTTCTTCCTCTACCATTCACTTCTCCCATAGGGCCCTCATCTTAATTTTATTCATTTGATTTATTAACATCTAAGTGGCAGAGTCGTCCTGGTCAGCATGGCCAATCAATTCCAGGGTTTAATTCGGTTTTTCCTGATTGGGTCTCTGGTCACTATCTTTCTGCTCACCAAAATCAATACTTTAACCTTGTGCTTCAAAGTCAGGCCGTCTGCAGGGACCCGGCCTGTTCCCCCAGGACCCTAGTGCCGCAGCTGGAATGCAGCCTGCTCTTCCACTGCAGCCTCGGCCGCCCACCCCCGGCAACAGCCTGCTCCCACCAGACCGGAAGTAATAGGACCTCTCACCCGTCCTCCTCAAGGCAGGCTGCTGGGGCCACATATCCAAGCTGCCACGTGGCTGCCAGTCCTGGGAGACCACGAAAGGCATCACAGCATCAGAGAGCGTGCCACCTGGGACCACGGTCCGCATCTCCCCACTTACTGCACCCTATCTGGCTGTGGACAGGGACTGAGCCCCTCTGGGTCTCTACTTTCTCATCTGTGCAATGGCTGGGAAGCGCCAGTGCAGGGAGGGGTAGGACGGTGCGTCGTAACTGCAGTTAATGTAAGTTGCCTCCACCCTGACCTTCCAGACAGAATCTACAGTGCTCTGTCCTGTCGCATCTGGGCCATCTCCCCAGCCAGGTTGCAGACCCTTAGAGGGCAGCTCCTGGATCCCCTGACTGCCTCTGTCCCAGGGTGATCCCCCAGAGAGTGCCTGGCCATCTGAGGCCCACACCTTACCTCTCCCAGTGGCTGCACACGTTGGGGTCCTCAGGGTTCAGGGCAAGGGCGGCTTGCAGGAAGGAGAAGGCAACGAGCCCCGTCAGGGAGAGCGCCATCACGGACCCTGCACGGGAGAACAAAGGAGGCTGCGTCTGTGATCAGATCGTGTTCCTGGCATCTACTTACTTTCCCATTGTCGTGGGTAATGAGCAGTTGATATTTTACATTGCAGGCTTTGACTAACACCGTAACAGTTCACCGGTTCTGAGTAACAGGGGAGTGGGAAGCCTGAGTCAGGGAAAAGTCCAAATTCCAGGCCAGGGGTTCTGAACATTTTCTGACTCAGGGACTGCTCTGAGAATCGAGGGAAAGGTATAGATGCTCTCCCCAGAAAAATGCCCACAAGTGCAAAATTGGCTATAATTGCAGGGTGTCCTCAGGCCCCCGGCCCATCCTTGGACCCAGGGACCCCAGATCTGGACTGCTTTAAAGGGAATGCCCTCCCCGTTCCCTTATCCCTCATCATTGACTTTCTTTGCCCGTCTACTTCCTTTCCCTACTCCCTCCTGCCAAGAAGAAAGGGAAAAAAGATGTCTGGTGTGGACCTGGTGGGGAATGAGCCAAGAAAACCCTGAACTCTGGGCCCACAAGCCACGGAAGACTGGCCCTTGCTTCTTCTGTCTCCTGTGGGGTGTCAGCTACTTCTGCCCAGAGTGATGCAGTCATCACATGCCATTCCCACTGTGGGATGCTGGGCCTAGACCACCTGGTAAGGGACCGTAAGGAATGAGTTTGCAGACTTTGATCCAGGCCCCTGAGGTGGCAGCTATGGCAGGTATGTGCCTACATGGGATGCCAACTCCTTTGCTTCACTTAACTAGGGATCCCCAACAAGGGGCTCCTCAGAGGGCAGACAACCTTTCCGGTGGGAGTGGCTGAAATGCCTCCTAAGGTTCCTTCCTGTCCGGGCACTCCAGGACTCTGTGTTCCTCCTGCCTCAGAGAACTTCTATTCCAAGGGTTGTAACCTGCTGGGTCGCTGACCTTGAGAGGTGCGGAGGAGCTGGAAATCATGAGCACCCAAACATCATCTGTAGGCTGAATGAACGCTGTGACTCAGAAAGACGGAACTATTTTTCATGTGTATGTAGATGCTATCATGATTTATTTAAAAGCTTTACTGAATTCAGAGTAGCTTTTCTTCTTAATCAGCAACACTAAAAATTGCAACTTCTAATAACCAGGGGTGGGGGTGTTATAGAAAATATTTTGACATTGGAAAGGGGTCGCAGGCTTGAATTGGTTGGGGATCTATCCCACTGGCCCTGGGTTCGCAGATGAGGAAGCGCTCACCCTACTTAGGAGAACAGATAAAAGCCGGCATGTATTTTGCACACACCCCCATTTGTACCCTCAGGGAAGCTAAATGGAGTGCCTTTCTTCTGAAAGGTTAAACATTCTCCTCCCCTCCACAATAATTTCCTTGTTAAACTCTTTCTCAGCAGCTCCCTCAAAGATAAACAAATTGTCACAAATTCTGTATAACCGTGGGGGTCTAAATTAATGATTAATGAGGTATTTCTATTTGAGATCTGGAAACCAACTGACTGAAATGCAGATTTAGCCAGATTTCAAATGAATGCATTCTGAAAATCAGAAAGAGGGGAGCGATTCTGGTGTTTCTATTCCATGTGCAGAGTCCAGGAGTATGCAAAGCACAAGTAGCTGCTCAGAGCTCCCCACCCACTCCCCCCAGCCCACTCCCCCATCCCCAGAGACCCAATCAGCGCCTCAGAAGGCTCCACACAAACTGGAGTCTATGTAACACCAGGGCTGCAGAGGAGCTCAGCGATCATTTCAATCCATTCTCCTCCGGGAGATTCAACCTAGAGCGGAGAAAGAGCCTGCCCAGGACATGGCATTGACATATGTGGAGAGTCAAAAGTGGAACAAGCATCTTCTTCCAAGTGGGGTTTGGGCCAATCAGGCATCAAATAAAGAAATAAACAATGGGACACAGAGCTCCAGAAGGCATGGAGTCTGAATGTCAGCTGTAGGGGATGCCCTGCCTTGTCTTGATTCTCTCTGTGGCCCTGACTCATTACTTGGGCCACTCCTATAATCTCCAGCATTCTCCCGAGAGAACCTCCTGACAGCGTCTTCAAACTCATTACACCAAGAGTATCAAAAGATGAGGCCACCTGGATAGGAGAAGATTGTTCCTCTGCTCCCTTTTGACCCATGTGTTGGGAGAGAGAGGTAACTTGGATCTCTGCTGTAATCTGTGAGATTTTAAAAGCCTCATGGAGAGAGAGAGAGAGAAAAGAACGAAAAGAAGGAAGGAAGGAAGAAAGGAAGGAAGGGGAAAGGAAAGAGGGAAGAAAGAAAGAAAAAAGAAAAAGAAAGAGAGAAAGAAAGAAAAGAAAGAAAGAAAGAAAAGAAAGAAAGAAAGAAAAAGAAAGAAAGAAAGAAGAAAAGAGAGGAAGGAAGGAAGGGAAAAGGAAGGAAGGAACAAAGGAAGGAAGGAAGGAAGGGAATTCTCCTTGTCTCACTTCACTCAGGCGCAGTGAAGAAAGGAGCCGTCATCACATGGGAGCAACTCATCCCCATTAACTTTAATGGGACTTTCCTGGGATCTCTCTGAGGACAGATCCCAAAGACATATGCTTATGAGATGACTGAGGGAAAATCAATCCTGCTGCAGTGGTTATTAGGCCGACTCCATTTGGAGTGACAGAGGTTAACATATTGGGCACCATCTGATTTAGGGCATTAATAATTAAATAAGAAAATGCCCCTGGTTTCACTTCAGGGGAAGAGTCCATGTAAATAGATCTGCTGGTTCTCTTCCCTCTGGTCCAGCTCTCTACATATTAGGGAGCAGAGGAAGTTGCAGAGGTGGAAAATTTTCTTTCCTTATTGGGCATCATAGCTGCTTTACCCCTGATGGACTGGACGGGGGGGATAAAGGGAAGAGAAAGTGCCCAGGAGGCGTACCTCTCACACCTGCAGACATGGTGTTGTCAGCCCACGTGGCCACCCACGGGCCTCGGCCCAAACTGAGCACTCTTGGCGCACCACATGCCCTGGCCTGGGCCGTGCAGAATGCCATCAGCTGCAGTGCACTTGAAGATGCTCAAAGCTGCAAGGGATTAAGTCCCACTGGGGGCGCTGTGAAAGCCTTTGTGGAGTGGGTGGGACTTGGGCTGGATGGCATGTGCAAAGGTGGAGGTTAGAGAAAGGGCATTTCTGGGGCAGGTCCACCCAAGCAGTGCGTGGAGGCAGGAATGTGCAGGAACTTTGGAGGCACCAGACAGCAGAGAGCTTGCACTGTAGTGCAGTGGTGGGCAGCATGGGCACCTCTGGAAGGCATTCTCTACAGCTGGGTTCTGTGGAACACTAGCCCCAGGAGACACTGATAGAAATCTCTCAGACGAAGGTCTCCAAGGGTGAATAAGCTCGGGAAATGCTGCTTGCTATGTCCTCAACTTAAATATTCAGTCTAAGCATTTTAGCATAGCTTAGACTCTGAGAAGACCCAAAATAAAGAGACCATTTGGCTTTTTGTTTCACCCAATATTTCCCATGGAACTCTTTCTAGTGACTCAGCTCTAAGAGTGGCGTTCCTGATAATAGTGGCTTAGGAAACTCTGCTCCCCTCCCTCAACGCCACGTCTCAAGAAAGGCCTGGTGCATGTCAAGCTGTGTCCCGAGAGTCTGCATGCACTTGTTTATTCTAACACCCAAGAGCCTCCTATGCCTGGCACCTGGTGTTAAAGGAAAATGCCATCAGGTAGATTAAGGGACACTGGCATCATAGCAAAGGATCCCTCCTCCTGTCCAGCGCTTCTGCTCCAGCCTGGGTTGGCTTTGCTGGCTGAGCAGGTCTTAGAGATGGCAGTATCCTCTGGAGGCCCCTGCCTCTGCCTGGGACCCTGCCATCACTAGCACCAGCACCTATGGAGGCGTCTCTGTCTCCAGTGGCAGCACACACCTGGCCAGACACTAGTTGCTCACATTAGCCAAGATGCATAAATTGGGGCAGAGGGCCGACAGACAGATGGCCTCTGCCCTGGGATCAGCTGTTACAACCTCAAGGTCCATCTGTGCAAAAATCATACCCCACCTGTTTCACTTCACCACTGGCTTCATCCTCCTGACTGTGCCTAAATCTTGGACACTGGAGCCTGGCCCATGTGCCTGCAGCCTGCTCTCTGTCCATCCCAGTCCATCTTCCCGTGATCCTTTGCTTCTCAACATATTTGCACTGGCAGCAGGAGTGGCAGCAGTCAGACACTATTTTATGGGCCCAGGGAAGTTCCCACTCCCACAACAAAGGGGATCTACTATAGTGGCTGTTTAGAATGCTGTGCTGAGGAAGTGGGGCTGAGTGGGAAAGCATGCCAGGATTGATTAGTAATGTCTGTCTTGAACGCTGGGGAGGGACAACACAGGTGCCATGCACTGTGTCTATACTGCTAAACAGGTGTTACCACTTTGGAAATTTCTCCCCTCCTATATTTACCACTTAGATATGGCCTTGGCTGTTCCCTCTGGACCCTAGGACCTAAGGATTATTTTCTTCCCCTCGTACCATGCCACTAGAACATATACTTGATGAGGGCAGGGGTTTCCATCTGTTGTGTTCACGGCTATGTCCCCCGCTCCTAGAGCATTGCCTGCACATGCAGGGATTGATTACTGACTCTACAGCCAACCTCCACCCCAACCTCTCAACCATCCCAAGCCTCAGCATCAGCCACATTGCTTGTGTCTGGCCTGAGAGAGGACACCAAAGACCCATCCCAACAGCAGGTCACACCGCACAAGGCATTCCATGTTGTGTTAACATTGCACTTGCAGAGACACCAATCTGGTGGCATCAGATACTGTACAGTGGGCGCCCAGGACATCCTGAGAGCAATTCAAAGACTCCTGCCTGGACCACCTCATCAGCACCAGTGTATGTCTGCTCCCCACACTAGCACAAGGCAGGCATTGAAGCCCAGGCAATAGTTCAAGCTGCAGTTGGGGACTGGGTGTTCCAGACGCCTCATGAAAAGGCGCTTTCAGGTCTGAGAAGCAGCAGAAGCAAACCCCAAACTGGAGCTGATAAAGCAAATGC